GCAGATATGGGATACTTGAGGAGAGTGGCTGGCCGAACCAGAAGAGATCTTGATAGAAATTAGAGAGAACGAGAGGACCTGGAAGTTTCAGCTGTAAATGGTTTGGCCACCTTTGTTGAATGGAGGAAGATCGAAATGTTGAAATTATGAGACTTTCATTGCCTTCCGTAGATAGGTCAAACGTTGTCACACTAATTGTAAATGAATAATGTTGGAATTTCACAAAGGGAAAATTCATCAAATTATTTACTAATTTAATTTTCTAAAACGTTAAATGGTGATTTTCCGAAATAAACGGACGATAGATACTTAATTATTTAAATAAAATAATATATAAATAGTTTTTAAACTACAGTAAATGTATTTAAGGCTATAAACATATCCATGAAATATTTTTATATTTCACTTCTTCTTTCACACAAGTACAATGTAATAGTATTTTAAATAACAGCATTAGCTTGATTCGGTAGATTTTAAATATTTTTTTTTTTAAACTTCGAAACAAATTCAAAAGTTTACATTTAGTAAGAAAATATCATTTAATTTTCTTGGAAAGAAGTGATTTACCTTAAATAATGTTAGTTTTCTGAAACTATTACTTAATTTTTTTGCGTCACTCTCTGTTGCCTGCAACTTTATTAATTTGATATTATTTTTTCTAAAATTCTCCAACAATATATTATATTATATTATTATTATTTTCGGAGATTCATTTTCGCCCTGGATAACCATTTTTCTTTTTTTCTCCTGTTTCCAATTATCATATTTTTTCTAATTTCATATTTAGCAATTTTTTATAGTTACTGTTAATAAAAGAGAGTTATTTATTTTTAAATAAACAATATTAAAGGTACTTCAGAGGACTAAGTATATGAACATTAGTCATTTAAGCCCTGAAAAGTGACATCAATGGGGATTAGACCTAAATGATATTAAAGACTACTTAATTATACAATGATACACCGAATTTAATCAAAACGTTAGAGCCCTTCTTGAAAAAAGTGTTTCACTCTTGATATAAAGTAGCACTTCCAGTTAGCCGATTTTGAAAAAGTTGCAGTAACTTCTGGGGTATATAAAAACCTTAAATATGCAATTTGACTTTCATATAGCTTTCCGATTTTGAGCTAGACTGTTCACATACATACATACACACACACACACACAGACTATTTTGTGGGACTTGGTAATTTGGACTCAGGAGACCTCAAAACGTGTATTTCTGTTGAAAACTCAGATTCGAAAATTTTCACGATCGCAATACAGTCCCTTACTATATATTTCAAATAAAGGTAAGTGAAAGTAAAAATAATTTTTTGTTAAAAAGTAATTTTTAAGATTAAGCATTCATTTAATATTAAAAGGTTATCAATTTCAAGCTTGAACAATACCAAACTTTATAAATAAAACGTTTCATTCATTTAGAGACTCATCATTAAATGAATAGAATATATTTTAAAACAAACAAGACTATTATCGAATGAATAGGTCTGACACCATGAATCATTGCTTTGTTCTATGAACTATTTTCTTTCAACAGTTCTTAAGAACTCATATTTTTTGTCAATGAGCAGTTCATTTTCATTTTTCAAAGGTAGCAGAAATGCCCACCCCTAATTATAACTTCCTGTTTTATAGCATTTATAAAGCCATATTATTATTCCACAGGCATCTTTAATTCAATTATCATTTAAACAATAATAAAATTTTTTATTTTTATATTTATTTGATTATTTTATGGAAGGAAGCCGTTTTATTCTGTTTTGAGTAGAGTAGAAAATATAATAACATAATAAGAACAATTGGAAGGGAATAGGTGTTAAAATTAAACATGGATTAGTTGTTTAAACAGATACAAAAAAATAATATTCAATAAGAAAAATAACATAAGCTAAGTACAATTAGGGCATAAATTCATATATAAAACATGAAGTAGGCAATCATTTTTTTTTTAAAACAATGAGCTTAAAAATAAATCCATGGTTATTTATAGTATAATTTATTTATTTTACAACTTTGGCTTCAGTGCTGAAGTTGAACATAAAATAAAATATAAAGAAAAAAAGTCAAGCATACAAATTAATTAAATTCTTTTAACATTCATTTTAATTTGATAATTTCAGAATAATTTTATTTTTCAGTTCTCCATTTCCCTGGAAGAATGATTCTGAATTATAAGTAAAAAAAAAAAAAAAAATGTAGCTATGCATATTTAATAACATCAGAAAATATACATTCACAATTTTTTGCTATCAATTGAAAAATATTCTTGATTTCTGAGCCCAATTAAAAAAAAAAACAGTATAAAAAATCATGCTTAAGAAATATATTCAGTACAAAAGATGTCTATTTTTTGCCAGGAAGTTGTGAAGGAATTAATGAAGGAAGTTGTGAGATCATTCCAGGGTTTAACTGCCCTAGTTGCTGCAAATCCGGGCCAGGGATAATGAAAATTGAAAACCCACCCATAATCAACTTAGACTCCTTCATATTGGAAGCATTTAACAATGTCGAAATACCATTTTGAAAACCACTCATAGCTGACGAAATCCCTCCTGATGGTTTTTCTTGACCTGCTCTGACTTCTGTTTCAGAAGATTCTTTGACATTCGGTAACGATGGGATTTCTTCTTTGATAGGGATTTCCTAAACAACAAGAATGTAGTAATGACAAGAATATAATAATTTGTTTTAAACTTATTTATAAGAGTTATCAATAGATGTACTAACTGTTTCTGGCAAAGGAAGTCCTTCACAGTTCAGATTGAATACTAAAAAAATAGTAATAATTATAAATGACATATCGTCAGGAAATATTTAATAATTATAAATGACAATTTTGAAGATAATCTTACAACAGTGAAACCTCTTAATAAGGACTTTCTACTCTTTAAAAATACTTAAATGTTTAATTTATTTAATGTATAATTGGTTGAAATGATTTAAAATGAAGTGGGAAATAGACAAGAAAGATTTTAACTTGTGTAAAGATGAGGATCTTTCAAGCAAACCCTCTCAACAACTATTTCTTTTTTCTTGAATTCTCTTAACTCGAGAAACACGGTCGCTTTAAAAGGGGAAATTTTATATTAAGTCAGTACAGCAGTAGTGTTGGTTGTATCCACCTACAAATCAGCTAAGATATATGTAGAGAAATATATAAGTTTAAGAAAAGAAAATTTGCAATCCCAAACCAGCTTATTGTAACTTAAATTATTAAAAACTGATATTAAACTGCCTTTAATTTTTGTTTCTAATATGGGGCAGCCCACTCACTGCTAGAGGGTAACATTATTCCAAAATTATGATATTTTTTGTTAAAGACGCCTCAATTTTAAATGTCTGGCACTGGAGTAAAAAAAAAAAAATTTTAACCATTTTTTTTTAAAGAAGCTCTAGATCAGAAAATGACTAAGTGTTGCCCAAATGTGAGACAAAGATGAGTCTTGGTCTTCCAGTTACCTCTTAACTTATAACTAAGACCGAATGAAAAATTAGAAGTGTTAAATGCAAAAGTATATTGGTTATACCGATTCTTTACATACAATAACTAAAATTGTCAAATATTAGTAACTATTTTGCCTTAGTTTTTATTCAAAAAGTCAATTTTTTTTACCAGTATTGGTCTTGGTCTTGGAACAGTAAAGCGGTCTTGCAAAGTGCAAGACCAAGATTTTACCGATTTTAGGCAATACTAAAAATGACGCAAAAATTTTTAAGTCTTCTCCATAAAGTTTGTTCCTTTTATTTTTCAATGCATCAGTTTAATGTGATTTGACCTCAGTGTAATCACGTTGATAGGGTGACTGTGGAGAAGAGGATGGAAATAAACAATGAAAAATATATATGAATATATAATTATCTTGATAAGTTTAATTTCTATCCATATTTACTTTTTGAATCATTCCTTTTCATCTTTGTAGATAATAAGTTGAGCAGAATAAATACTTCTATCATCATTTCCAGTTCATCTTGTTACAAAAATACAAGCGGTATAGATAATTATCAATCATATGTTGAAGTGCAGAAGTGTATCTAGATAGAATCATTAATTATAATTATTTGGAATATGAGAATATAGGCAACTGGCGGAATTGAAAGATGTGAAGGAAGGAAAGGAGTGCCTGGTAAACTTTCAATGTCGGGGTTAAAAACCCATGCTATGGTCCTGTTTGATTAAAAACATAATATTTACTTACTTCATTATAATTATAGCTAAGACTTCCATTCAAAAAATCAAATATTGTTTCGTACATCAGTACACTCAAGGTTTAAAATTGGTCACGAATAATCAAACTATATAAAACTTAAAAACTAAGAATTAACTTCATATATTTTTGTTTCTTTGGGTTATTTTACTTAAATATTTAACTGATTTTTTTTTTAATTTTATGAAGATATAATTTGAATGATAAAAAAATTAAATTGATCAACTTTTGTTAGGTGAATAACATTTAAGTTTTCTTAATATTTTACCTCTCTCAATGTAGGTATAATATAATATTCTTTTGATATGCATCATATCTTTAAAAATCTAAATGTATGTACATACATTTATATTCGTTCAAAATAAAATCATTTCCAAAAGAATTGTAGTTGATCTAAACAAATATTAGCCTTCTATATCTATATGCATATCTTATTTTATTTTTAGAATTCTACATTTAAGAATACTTATCATTAAAAGACAAAATTAAGTCACCATGACTGTTTGGTACCCAGAGGTTTCACTGTATATCATCGAAAGAATAATAACTCCTCAAATTATCGAAAACAATCAACTTACCTGAAACAATTATAATAAATTGAAATACTGTGAAATACCAAGACATTTTAACATTAGAGAACTACCGCTGAGAATGCTCTTCTTCGAAGGCTCCAAAGCTATCAGCTGATATGTAATCAGTATGCAACATAGCTAACAGCTAATGGAAGATAATTCCAGTCAAGATAGGTTATAAAGAAGAATACTAATGAAGGTGATAACATTCCAAAAAGAATAAAAGTGATAAATAAAGCACTTTATTTAATTAGTCAATAAATTAGTAAAATTACAAAAATAAATATGTGATACTTATAACAAGCTATTTAGTGCCAATTATTATAAAATAAATTTCTATGAAGCCAAAGCCTCTCACCTTAACAATTTATCATTTTTTTATTTTTTTATTTAACTGTCTAAAATATATTTAATTATTTAGAGTGTCGACCGGAACCTTCTCATGAAATTCCCTGACTTTTCCAGGTCATTTGGGAACAATGCAAGGTCATCGAAACGTAATAAGACTTAACTGATCTTTATTAATAATCATTTAATATAATTTCTAGAATATTTGATATTTTAAATACTGTAATCCACAATATTGGAGTCCTAATAAAAAATATAGTTGTATGACATATAAGTTTGTAAGATAGATACCTAACAAACAAGCCTCTCTGTAGCATACAATTAAAAATATGGAAGCACCATCTTTGACACTAAAAATAATAGAAACATCATCTATAATACTGACTTTTAAACTTAAATTATAAATTTCCGGGAGATAAAAAAAACACAAATTACTATTGATTATACAAAAACAATTTCTTAATAAATAGTTTTGAAAATAGAACTACATTATTTAATTAGAAAAAAATAAATTATTAAAAAATAAATAAAAATTATTTATTAAAGATTCTTAAGACCAAAAAAAACAACTTCAACACTTAAAAAGTTTCACATTTTTAATTTCATAAAATTACTTTTGTAGTTTTTATTGTATTTCATTTTACTACTAATTTCATTGGATACATTTTAGAATCAAATTATGATGGTCTAAAGTTGTTATTCTAGCCTTAGAAATTCTTAATAAATTGCTTACCTTAAGCACACAAATATATAATAAAATTATCGTTCATAAAAATAAAAAAATCAAGGAACACATTGTGTAATACGTTTGAAACGTCATAGATACACTTGTGCATACATCAGTAAAATTGTGAACAATGATTCTAAAATATCACAACAAAGACAGGCTCTCGTCTCATATCTCGTAAAATTCTGATAATTTCGGTATTTCTTTCATCAAAGTCCCCAAATTTTCCAGGTATTATAGGTCCGGTAAACACTCCGATTATTCCTTCAGTTAATAAAGGAAATTATTAAAGCTATTATATTATTAAAGCTCGCTATCTATATGACATTTTACATTCTTTGGTGCATTTTCATCAAATATAAGGCCTATATTGTACAATAATTCTTTAACCGTACATTTGCCATCAGCACATAAGAATAACCTGCTTTTAACTTTTATTGAATTTTCTTTCACTTTATTACCAGTTACAGTGAGATTCCACTTAGGGGTTAGAGTGAAATTTTCCTCCTTAGTAATTACTTTGTCACCTAAAAGAAAAAAAGTATTTTACAATTTATCACAAACAAATATTAACGAAAATCTTGGTAAGTGCCTATTGGTTTATAACAGGGTTTGAAATCAATAATTAAAAAAATCAAAATTAAACCTGATCAAATTTTTTATCTAGAATTTTTAAAAATCATTTGATGATTTTTATTAAGAGTGATTTTTATTTTTGACCATAAGTGACAAAAATCATATCCTAGTCATTATTTTTCAACACAATTTTTACAATTAACAATAACAATAATTCTTGAGTAATACTTTTTAAAAATCAGAAATATAATTTTCTTCTAAGCTCTATGATATATTTTGAGTCTAGAGGAATAGGTGGAAAATATTATTGACAACTATCAGCAACAGAACAGCTTTATTTCCAAAATTTTATATTGACTTACAATATATTTAAATAAAAAAATATAATAATTATTAGATGATTTTGTCAAAAAAATAATTATCGATTTCAAACCCTGGTTTATAAAGTCAAATGTAATTCTAAAGAAAATTTGAAGTTTCAATATTATCAAAATATATATCTTTCTATATATTTTCAAAGTTTTTTTGTTTTTGTTTGTATGGCATATCTGAATTAATACTTCATTATATCCAAAGATACTGCCATTATTTTGAAGAATTCTGTAGAAAAAATATGTTTAATCAGAACTCAAAAAGTATACAGTTTTCAATTGATTGTACACATGATAATTTTAAAAGTTCTCAATTTCCTACAAAATGAAAAATATAAATCAATATCAGATTATTATTAGTCAAGAGAAAGCCTATTGGAGTCAGTATATGTGTTTTGGTTAATTATTTTATTAATGAACCATTTTAATTGACCAAAAAAAGCACATAATAAAATAAGGTTTCTAATTTATGAATGAATATGATTGAACCCTACTATATTTCATCGCTAACCAATGTATTATGCAAATTTAATTCAACTAGTCTATTATTCATATCATAACAAATATTAAGCTAATTTAAAAGTAACGTGGTGGAACAGAATAAACAAAATCTAATTTAAAAGACACAAGAAGTTACAGATTACATCAGATGGTGTTTATAGAAAATAATGAATCCTAACCATTTTTTACAATAAATTCTCTCTTTGATACAATCAAAATAATATATATGCTTCTAATAAATATTTAGCATTATAATTACCTTTCTTATGATTATAAAGAATTTCACAGAAAATGTTATGCTGTTTTATATAAGCTGTATATTAAAATGTTATAGGACTTTAAAAAAAGACCTAAGGTAAGTTTCTTGAAAACTGTTAGAACCTTTTGGCACAACAGGTTTCTATAGAAAAAAAAACAGGTTTTTTCCGTTGACCCTTAATGATGTGAGGGTTAATGCATTTAAGCAGGAACAAACAAACAGGTTTTTATGGCTATGGTAACAGTGTGCCTGATTTGGTGCACAGCCATTCGAGGTTAAAATTCTCCATAACAACAATAAGCAATAAAATCGGTCGATTTGGAAATAACAGTTGCACTGAGAAAAATAGCTGAAAATGTGTTTTAATACTTTTGTACAGGGATCAATCCCAGAAAAATATATACAAGCTTTTCTGAAAAGTTGAGCAGCTTAGAAAACTGAGACTAAAGGAAACTTTTCTTCTAAAACAATATTTTTGTTTTATTTTTAATATAACTCTTTAGTTTATTATAATTTAATTTTTTTTTTTTTACAACTTAAAGTTTGATTTCGAGAATCATTCAACCAATCCCATTAATACAGTAAACTGCATACATAACCAGCCCAAATATATATATATATATATATTTTTTTTTTTCTGATTTTCCATAATTTTATTTAAACTATTATATATATTACGGGAACCGGAAAGTAATATCATTTCTAAGCATGTTTTGATGTTTTAAGTATGTTTTTTTCTAAGCATGCACATTTGATGGTCATTTGTCAGCTCATTAGGTTAATCTATGTCATGGCAAAGACATTCGAAAGTTGAGTGACTTCTTTAGTGGCAAATAATTAAATTAAAGGTTTTTTTTTTTTGGCAATTTTTAGTGAAATAGCCAGCCAAATAACAGAAGAGGTACATACCTGGCATTGCATGCTTTTTGAGTTTCACAAGGGTAGTAACGCAATAGTTGCTACCGAAAACATTTGCGATGTTTGCCCAAAAGCATTAGACGTTCATAAATTTGAAAGGTGGTTTTTCAAGTTCAAACATAGTAATTTTGGTCTTTCCGACTTGTATCGATCAGGAAGACCAACAACATTAGACAATGGCGGAAGTCGAAGCAAATCCTTATCAAAAAATCAAGGCATTCTCAAAAAATTTTAACCAACGTTGGTCAACCTTCCAAGAACATTTGCAGCAGATTGGGAAACCATCATATGCAACTTATTGCTTTAACGGCACAATACAGAAGTGTTTTTTGATCACTTGATTGTCGGAGATGAAAAATGGATCCTGTATGATAATTCAAAACGCATAAGGCAATGGGTCTCTCCAAAATAATCGCCACAAAGCACTGTTAAGTCAGGTTTACACACCAAAAAGGGCCCATTATGTGTCTGGTAGAATATTTCCAGCGTTGCTCATTTTGAAGTGCTGAAATCTGGACAAACTGCGAATGCAGACTTTTATTGAAAACGTGTAAATCAATCTTTAATTGAAAAGTGGCTCGCGACTGTCAACAGAAAAGGCATTATTCTGCAACACGAAAATGCAAGAGCGCACTGGGTAAAAGAAACCCTGGAAAAAATTACTGAATTGGGGTAGGAGTTACTGCCTCATCCATCATACTCACCCAATTTCGCACCATTGAAATTCCATTTGTTCGGAAACACTTTCTAAGTAGCGAAAGATTTGCAAATTCGAATGAAACCTAAAATGCCATTTCTATATATTTTGCTCAAAAACCAATTGATTTTTATTGATCCTGCATTGAAAATTTGCACACTAGATGGCAAAAGGTTTTTGATAATGAGAGTGATTCTATCAATGATTAAAAATAAAAACTCGAGTGAAATTTATGTTTGAATTTAATTTAAGAAAATGACATTACTTTCTGGTCCCACTAATATATATATGTATATATATACATACATATATTATATATATATATATGTAATATATACACATATATATTAACAAGCTTTGTCCTTACACTGCCCTATAACAAGCCCAAATCATTCAATTAATCCATGAATAATATTTATTAATTATTTTCTTTAGGCCTTCATGGCCGAGGTGCATTCATGCCACTTAGGAAAAAAAAAAAATCTTTTATTTTTACTTGGCCCTGAAATGCATATATTCATTGCAATGCACAAAACAAAATTGTAAGCAATAACAACACATTTACAATAGTGATACTTTTCTTACTAAATAAAGGTAGAAAAGAAAAAATAAATATAGATGGCTATCTTTACCTGGTAAATATAACATCCACTTGGAGGGTGCTTCTTTTGTGAGTGAATATTTATTCGTTAAAGTCAAAGATATCTCCAATTCTAAATCAGAACCTTCGGGATTGATGGTAACTGAAGTTTTCTTAAATTCTTCACATCTTTTATTGTCGACAGCTGGTGTTTCCTTAAGAATCAGCTGAAATTTTTATAATAGAAATAATAAATACAAAGAACAATAATATAAATTAGATATAATAGAATTATAATCAACCCACTGTAGATAATGCTCGACTCTTAATCTCCAAAACTTTTATTTCATTGTTATTTGTGTCAGCAATATATATTTTGTTGCCAAGTACACAGAGACCAGCGGGCTCATTGAACTGTAATAATAATGATAGACATTAAAACTTAATATTAAAATCAAAATTAGTATGCTTAAATTGACAGAATACCTTCTGCTCACTGACGGTAACACAATCCTTAGACAGAATATCGACTTTTTTGATTTTATGATTATAAGTATCAGCTATGTATAGAGAGTTATCGAAAGAACTCCATGAAACTCCTAAAGGATGCTGAAGCTTAGCATCGGTACCAATGCCATCTTTATCACCAAATGCAAACAGGTTCTATAAAACAAATAACTAAAATAGTTTTAAAAATTGCACACAATAATTAATAAATAATATATTATAATAAACTATTCTTGAAATTAGTTTTACCATCTCAACAATTTGACATAAGAGAAATAACATAATCAGTAAAAAAAAAAAAAAAATCAAGTGTGTCCACTCACACGACTTTTCTATCTATTTCAGAAAAGTATTTATATCTTTACATATGCCTATCAAGAAACAAAATTTTATAAAATTTATTTTCCTGAAAATTGATCAAAGAAAAGATTTGAGTACGATTTATTTGATAAACTGAAGCAATGTAAACAGGCTTAAGGTAGATCAGTGTAAAAATTTCAATACTCTCTAATATTGCTGATCAAAAACTTTTTGCCATAGCCTAATTTTGTCAAATAATAATTTCTGCTAAAGGAAGCGGAAATAGTGAAGCTTGTGTGATGCGGGCAACAGATTTTCTTACTTTTATTTAGTTATCTTTTTTCTCTCAGTCAACCCTTTCAGACACCAGGATATGCACCCAGGGTTTTTTCAGAGGACTCAGAGGCTCTAAAACATATAGAGCTGTCGAAAACTGCTTATCAGAAATTTGACCCAATCGCAATACTTTCCTTACCTAGTAGAGGTATGAAAGTATATTACTTTAAACATGTATAGAAACTAGACTAAGCTGTATCATTGCTAATACTGGTTCGATTCCGATGATTTTTGTTGTTCTTAATTTTATTACCTTTGAAAAATTTTATTATAAATTTTATTATAGAATATATACTTAGCGAGTTAGACCCAAAACATTTTTCTTTTCTTCATAACTTTGTTTTCTGAATTCGGAAATTTAGCCCATGAACAAAAATTGAAAGGACAATTATTAGAATATTATAGGAAAGTTTCATCAAAATCGTTAGAGCCATTTTCGAGCTACAGTCTATAGAAAAACATGCTTTTAATTTATTGTACAGCAGCTATTGAGCATGGAGAACCCAATTTGTGTCACAGGCATCAGTAGTCAACAACAGATAATAAAAAAAGAAGAAAAGTCCAAAGGTTTGATACAGATACCACCAACCACCAACATCTACATACTTACACCTACTAAGCGCTATCCAAACATGAATCTGCCTGATCAGCTTTAACGTAATCCTCCTACCTTCACTTCAGTCTATCCCTTAGTCCCTTCACAGTCTGCACAGTACATATTAGCCTTTAAGGAAATTTTTCTGTTACTAAGGTAAACAATTTTACACATCCATTTTATTTGGTGATCTGTGTTATATTTACCATGAGATGAATACTCTTAAGCAACATTTTACTTTTTTAAGCCCTTTATACCTTGAAACGTTGCTTATCTCTTGATGTAAGCATCCACATTTCACAACCATAAAGAACTGTAGGAAGAATAATATTTCGTAAATTCTGATTTTTAAGTTTCAGGACAGGAGACTCAACCTAAGTAGTTTTGCAATAGAAAAATAACAAGCAGTTTTTTTTCTAGTAACCATACAACCTAAATTTCTCAGTGTTTTCTAACATAGCTATATTACCAAAATCGTTAGCATTTTTGCACCAAACGATATATTTTGTCTTATCCATATTAATTTTGAGCCCCATTTCTTTACCAGCTTTAATCAATGTTGTATTTAATTTTATAGTTTTCTAATTTTTGCTTACCAGTAGAAATCATCAGCATACGTAAGCAGAAATATTTATACATGGATATCCACCCTGATTTTAACATTTTTCAGAGTGTGTCACCTCTTTAATGGCATGTAATAACTTTGTTTTAAAGTCGAACGAACTCCGAACTTCTCAGATAAATAATTACTGATTCTAACTTCATTGAATGTTTCGTCATGAACTACTTAAATGTATACTAAATATTAAAGAAATATGATATTTTTTCTATTATTTGTTCAAAAATTATAAAGTAACATAAGGAATCAATAACTTAATTACCCGAGGATCAGAGGCACCACCAATGAGTGCTGAGACACTTCCAGTTTCCGCACTGATTTTTCTAATCGATGAACTTTCACTGTCAGCAAAATAAATAAAATTAGTGCCATCGTAAGCCAGTCCAGAGGGTTGAGCTAGACCGGCCGATGAGGGGTAAATATTGTTCCTGTTTTCTTCTCGTCCACTTCCAACCAAAGCTGCACAAGTATCTGCTTTAAAAGACCTAAAAGAAAAAGTTATTTATTTCAACAACACGCATGATTGCTGCAATAACAAGAATTAGTGCCTGGGCCAATTTAAATGGATTAAGGCTAAATGCTGCTAAAACTCAGGCCATTCTCATTGGTTCCAAGCCCCTTCTTAGATCCCACACCAACTTTCCTTCACTCTACCTAAATAACCACCTCATCACCTTCTACCCTTTTGTTAAAAATTTAGGCTTTTACATAGATCAAACCCCCTCCTGGAATCACCATATCTCTCATATCTCCCATCGTGCACCTTCTATCCTCAAACTATTCCATCACTTCCACCATTTTCTACCCCAAAATACCTGTAGACTCCTAGTTTCCTCTCTCATCTCTCCCCACAGCTGTGTGGTCTACGATGGCATCTCGGTGGAACTCCGTGATAGACTCAAAAGACTTATGAATAGCTCCGTAAGATTTGTAATTGGAGCCCCGAGACGCTCCCGTGTCTCCCACCACTACATTGAGTTAGGGTGGCTCTTCCCCTCCTTAAGAAGACAATATTTCCTTGGCACTTTCCTTTATCAAATCATTAACGATCATCGTCCTTCTTATGCCTACAACCTTCTCCAGTTTAAGTCCTCAATCCATTCCCTCAGCACAAGATCTCGACCTTCTGACCTATACACCCCTTCTCATGGATCTGCCTCATTCCAAAACTCCTTTATAGCCCGCTCTGCCAACTTTTGGAATTCCCTCCCGATCAAAATTAGGCCTGCCCCCTCCCTATTCACATTCAAAAACCTCCTATTCCAAAAAACAGTCAGATACCAGTTAACTATTAACACTATATATGTATAGCAATCATATAATCACACGATAATACTTTGTAAGAGATAGTACATGCATTTCCTATTTTTGACGTAGGAATTTCAATACATCTATTTTTTTAAATTTAATTATAACTAACACACACATATATATATATATATATATATATATATATATATATATATATATATATATATATATATATATATATATATATATATAAGTAAAGTTTTTTTATGAAATGAACTTATTCTATCTCTTTTTCATTCTCCATTTCTCAAAGTATATATTTATGTTGTTCAACTATTATATATAATTTTGTTCATAGTTTTAAGTGTTTTATTCATATTTTCAAGTGTTTTGTGCATAGTTTTATCTGTATTGCATATAACTTCTTCACCAAAGATTTTCTTTAATTTTTAGTTTATTTTATAAATTTTATTTTTGTTTCAAACTTTTAGGCCAGTAGTATTCCATTCTTTTGTATAATTTTGATATTCTAAAGAATAAACTTTTTTTTTTTCTATCTATCTATCTAACAATATTTTCTTAATACAGTTGACTCTCGATAATTTAAACTCTTCAGCTGTTAACTTAGGTAAATCAAAAAATGCTCTATTTTAATATGCTTGATAAAACAAAATTCTTTTCATAACAAGAAGGGGAGAGATCATTCTATAATCTGAACTAAGCTACTTTGCTTCTTTATAATTCAAATTTTTCCGAGCAATGTTTACTCCTCATTTTCCACATAATGTTTGCTTTCTTCATGAATCAAGTTGCAGTGACAATGTAGACCACAAAATGTACCCGTTAGAAATGCTCTCCTTTAAAGCGAAAGGAAAATAATGTATCAAAATTATAAATCACAGGATTCGTTGCATGTAATGGATGGTTGACCAATTTTAAAAATTGACATGGCTTTGGACCAGAGATGCCAAGTCACTAAGAAACGAAAAACTATTCTTAATTTCGAAGAGAAGAATAGTTGGGGTGATCAGTCAAATAAGAAGGCAAAAATAAATGATAATATTTATTTTGACATTTGCAGACGTTTCGACCTGAAGTTCAGGCCATTATCAGGGCTAAGAAAAGAACCAGATAACATTTTATTCTAAGATTCCCATTTTAATACTTATGTCACCTTTTTTGATTATGTTTACTTCATCATTCCACACTTTGTACCGGTTATTATCATTTATCTCTTTGTTCTTACTATTGTCATTATTCTAACAACTGCATTTTACTTTATTTTTTCTACCTACACTACTTATGTTTCTCATACCTTGTTATCTGGTTCTTTTCTTAGCCCTGATGATGGCCTGAACTTCAGATCAAAACGTCGGCAAAAGTCAAAATAAATATCATTTATTTTTGCCTTCTTATTTGACTGATCACACCAACTATTCTTCTCTTCATTATTCACAACAGTCAACCATTTACCCACAATTATTCTTAATTTCTTTATTAGGTATATATATCATTATATATTGTAATTTTAATATGGTTTTTTTTTTGTTCTTTTCATTATTTTTAATTTTTTACTTGCAGGTATGTATATAAAATTTATGGAAGCATATACATATTTTCAAAAATATAATAAAAACTTTTAATAATTTGATTTTTTTTTTCTTTCCTTTTGATAATTAGAATTTTTTTATTGTCCCTTGGACTTGAAATTATTGAGAGTATTATCAAGTATTCTATGCTGATCATTCATAGTTTTGTCATAATTCCTCACAACTTGATTTAATATCATATTTCATACTTTTTAAAGTCAATCCTTGCACACAAAATGTGTTTCCTCAACATTTAAATCAAAGTATAATTATAAATGGACTTGCGTTAAACGTTAGCTCTCATTCATGCCCTCCATAACATCTTTTATTTTAGGATAAAACAAAATTGTCAGGCCTTCGATTTCATGTTGCTTAACCCTCCTGTTTCCTATGTACCTCAAGTGAACATGTTAATATGTGAGAAGGTTAAGTGACATGGAATCGAAGGCATATTTCAATTGTAAATTTGCCACTCTCAACTTCAGTGCTTTTTATCTTCTCAATGCTTTTATGTGTTTATATGAAGTACATAGGAAATTTAATGCTCTTTCAAATAGTGAATTTCTTCGAGAGAAGCATAGATTTTAAGTTTTGGAGGAAAAGCCTATGAAAACAGATATTTCTTCTGAAATAAGCAGTCAATATTCTCTAACTCCTCACCCGTTGTACCTACATCAAAAAGCTATGTGTAAAATTGATAGTAAATTTTATCTTCTTTAACTTTATACATAATAATATCAATAAAATGCATCGTTTCGTAGTCATGTAAAAAAATTCAGAAATTTAGCTGTTTTTTTTTTCATATATTTTGGAACACAATGGAAAATTTCATTTTGGAACATCAAATACCAAAGAGAAACTGACTATTTGAATTTTTTCTTCATCCAATTATCTTCAGACTGGCCTAATTTGATGACTTTGACGGGTTAGTTTTCAAAATGCAATAGAGTACATCGTCAGTTAAGGTGAATTCTCTTTTAGGGACATATTCTTGACATCATATAAAAATTTCAGCCGTATGTTCTTCCGTTAATGAACCGTCAAATTTTGCCTCTTTGATTTAAATTTTCTTATATAAAGCAACAGCTTTCAAGCGACTGATCAGAGTTGTGTATTCAGGTGAGGATTATCTGTAATTTAAAATGGTTTCTAGCTGTAAGTCCTTCCGTTAAATGAAAATGGTGGTAGCTCCAAGTCAGCACAAAAATAGTTTAATATAAATAGTTTAATATCCTAAAATATAACAGTTAAGAAAATACAAGTTCTTAATTGTACTTTAAAAATTATTGGATCCTTACTTCTTCCACAGAACTGTATCTCGAAGAAAGTATCCCCATATTTGATGAGTTCCAGCCATAGCAATAAGTAAAACATCATTAAACAAACAAAGATCCCAAGGAGATGAAATGGCTTGTCTCGCCCCTGCTTTACCTCCGACATAATCATGTCCTTGTGCACCTATCCCCACTATTGTACTTACTTCTTTGGTTTCAAAATTTATCTGATTAAAAAAAAATAAAAATAATAGCACAGAAATAAAGTTTATGAATAAAATCATACTCTAAGAAAATAATTTACCTCCCGAATACAATGATTTTCAGTATCAGCAACATACAACTTTTTGCTGTCTGGAGAAAATACCGAACCTTGAGGAGAAAAAAACTTTGCAGTAGTAAAATCACCGTCAGTTAAACCAGGGGATGTCCCTCCTATCTCATACTATAATTAGAAGATGAATTATTAATTATACAGTATATAATAATAAACATATACTAATACAGTTTCCTGCCTTGTTTCAAGAAACTCTTCATTCAACAAAGGAGTAAATCGTACCATTATTTCACCAGAGATATCGGCAACAATTATCCTATTGTGAGCCGAATCTGATATTGCAATGAGTTTCTTATCAGAATCAACGGACACTTTTCCAGGATAAGATAGAATACTATTACTTTTGGGAAAGCTGTAGGCAGCTATTTGGGGAATTGATTTCTCTGAAAGTCTTTCTTTTTTTTTATAAAAAGAAATCGCTTCAGTGACAAACATTTTTAGAGTATTGTAATGCCCTTCACCTTGAAGCATCAACAACGGTTCACTGTTAGGCCCTACAATGAAATATGAAAACTTAAGTTGTAGAAAAAAAAATAAAAAGATTTTTAGAAATAATATACATCAAATATTGATTGGCAGTTTTATTAAATAAAGCATGAAAGAAAAGAATATAAAAAAATGATCTCTAAGATTAGTTATATGATAAGAAAAATAATAAATTTATTATGAAAAATTATTTTGTCTTATTTGTATATTTTAAGATAAGGAGAAATTATCCTGGATTATAATTGAACCATATTTCAACATAGTGTAAGTGAGCTGACCTGAATATAGAGTCGCATTTATTCCAAAACGTAACATTTTATGAATATTCTCATTAAAGACTAATAATAATTTTAAAAAATATTTTACACACTAACTCCTAAAGAATAAAAAAATTATATTAAATTTTTAGATAAAATAAGGAAGACGTCATTGTTTTGTCCTTCAAAATCCTTGTTTTGAGATAAAAATAAATACAAACAATTATAATTCAAACAAATATCTGACATCCAGCCCAATGCATATGAACATGAAGTTTATATTGCTTTTAAAAATTAATTTAAAAAATAACCATGATCAATGTGAATTAGAAATGTATAATTTAAATTAAAATTCTTTAAAACTGTGTATATATTATAAAAAAAGCAGATAATAGGTAAATATTTAATTTATATAATAATCCTTACAAATGCGTAAACGAAATACATCCATAAATCTCTAAAATAAAATTAAGCTCTTTGAAACATTAATACAATTTATCAACTAATATAAATTTAAAAATGATAAAAAGACTATTTAAGTCTAAATGACATAAACTACGTGAATGAATAATCAACATAATGCCATAAATGGGCTTTTAGAGATAAGAATTACAGCACTACACAAATATTACATCTTAAAATGAAATATTAAAAAAATTATTTGATGAATAAAATTAAAAAGTTATAGTAAGGATTTACAGTTCGTAAGTTTAAGTTGAAATTATAGAATGACTTTTATTTTCAACAAAAATTGTTTTAGCCAACTAGTTTTTTTTTTTTTTATCTATTTATTGAATAATAATACAATCAGCCACTGGAGGGCTATAAGTATTAGGGCTAAGAGTTCTCATTCAAACAATATATACAAATAATAGAGAAATAAATATAAATATAAAAATTAAATAAATAATACTGATGAAGAAAGAAAATAAAAGAAAAAAAATAAACAATAACATAAAAAGAAACTTATAAACACAATCATACCTATATACAATATATACATTCGCCCAAGAATCTCCGAGCCAGGCTTTTTCCCCCACATGTGGAAGGCAAAGCAAGACTCCAGGAGATTCCAGTGCAACTTTTCCAGCCGCATCACTAGTATTAGAAATTAGCCAACTAGTAACTAAAAAAGTTTTTTTTATTTATAATATTCTTGATAATACTACAATAAAAATAAAGATAAAATTTCATTTTATCTCAAATGCTTGGATACAATACAAAAATGTTCAATTATATTAATCGTTCATGATTATTTATAGTCATCTAAAGGGCCCCTTCAAAACATCAATAAGGAAATAAATATCTATTAATCGAACTCCTTTAGCAGTCTCACCTAAAACATACAGAGTAGGCCAACAATGTACACCTAAAGTCTGCCACATAGATTCACTCTTGTCATTCACAACAGGATGAGTGATATCATATCGTCTGACAGCATCTTTGATATTACCGGTAATCTTTTCATTAGTGAACTTTGCACTATGCACACCGATCTGAAAACAAAATACAAAAGTAATGGAAAAATAATTAGACTATGTCTAGGAATCTGTTATTTAGGTACATACAACTACTAGTCCATCTTTTACAGATATTTCTTGTTCGAGCCTTTTCAAATCGGGCAGAATGTGCATACAATTAATACAACAATAAGTGAAAAAATCCAAAATTATTATCTTCCCTTTCAAGTGACTGTGCAAAGATAATGGTTCTGTAACATTGATCCACTCCAAACCTATCAAAAAATTACAATATGTTACAATGCAACCAAGTCCATTCATTATCTTTATTAAACTTAAATGAGGACAACAAACCTACCTACTTTGAAATCAGGGGTCAATTTGGTATCAGTAAGACTTGATACAGTTTCTAAATGCTTTAATATTAATTTCTGAAGTTGTCCTTTCTCTTTTTTAAGTTTGAGATCATCCATAAAATTAATACTAAGTTCCCCAACTTGTTCTATTATACTTTCCATAGTTGGGCCTCTCTGGCTGAACCAAGAGAACAGAGGCAAACTTAACCTCCACTTTGTGAACATGACTTTAACCTACTATTTTCTTTCCGGCATACTTGCCTCTTGGATATGTATTACGGCTAGGATTACTTCTAATTTTTATAAATAGTGAGACACTGAAAATAATAAATAGCTTTTTATTTCAATAATTATATTTTTACGTTTCAAATTACAAACACGCTTTGTCTTTATCGCTTTAGAAATTATTCAATGCCTACCAAGGCTACTCTGTTCATGATGACAAGTGTTTGCTCAGTGCAGTTGTTGACATGGACGTGTTTTAGTCGAGTAGGCATTCAAAAATAAATAATTTGTACGCGATGGAAGCTTGTGTTGCTGTCGAAAGAGAAGTTGACAAAGTTTTGACGAAGTTTGGCAGTATTAACGAACATGCAGGAAGAACATTAAGAGACGTGACAAATCATATTGAGGCTCTCAGAAAGGAATTGAGTGAATGTATGAAATTTGCTATTATTTATTGTTTCATTTAACTTAAAGTTATGACAGTTTTTCTGTTCTGTTCTACTTATACAATATTTCCAAGTATTTTTAATATTTTGTTAAAATTAATGATCTATCATTTTAGGTCCTCCTGATCATGAGTTAACTTCTAATCAGGTAATGATCATGAAACAGGCCATGAGTAAAGCTAGAGAAACAGTTCAAAGGCTAGCTACTGATCATCGGGACTTGCATAGTACAGTTTCTAAAGTCGGAAAAGCAATTGACCGGGTGAGCAATAGTTTTGTACATTCACAATGAATTTTTATTGTGTTTTAGTGTTAGTTTATTGGTCACATAAGTATTGACAATGGAATGTAACCATTTACATGTTACTGAATATCGAGCTAATCTTGATCTCACCATTTTTAAAGTTTCTCAATCTCTATAATTGAATTATTATTTGTATTCTAATCAAATTCTTTGACTATCCATGTAGACATCGGTTACAGATGAAATTGAAATTATAATCTGTTCATTAAATAAACAGGCTCTGCAAATACTTTCTGTAGATAAACAAAATCATCTCAATTGCTATTTAGGTATTCTTCATATAAACTGTCCCAATATGTCTTCCACTATTCAAACCTCACTTTATATTGAATGCTCAAAGTAATCGAGTTAAACTATTGATACTTCTACTTGTCTCTAAATATTTTGTAGTTAGAACTAGTTGTGGCCAGTTTCAACTAGTATTAACTGAAATTTCATCATATCCACAACTTTCTTCTTCTATAAGTGTTGTTATGTGAGGTTAAATTTTATTACTTCTTCTTTCTCAAGTAACAAACTAACTCCTATTAGTTATTTTTCTCTTGAGGTTGGGCTTACCAAGTTGAAGTCCTTTAAACTTAATTTCCTTATAATTAATATGTACATTTCTTTATATAAATAATAGTAAAAAAAGCTAGTCATATCATAGCACATATTCATGTAAATTATTTATAGTGTAATCTGTTAATAATGACTTAGCAGTAACGATTATTATTATAATGGCTTTAAGTAGATTCCTCCTATCAACTTTTATTTGTTTCAAAAATAGAAAAATCTTCAAAGGATCAAAATTGTACTTAAATATTACTAAAATAGTATGTCAGAAAATGTGTTTGAGTGCATAAATAAGTTTTGAAGTTATGGTCGCAGATATAATAATAGTTAATTTATGATGGTGTAGAAATGATTGACGTTGGTTCAGGGGTGCCGTCAACAATCATACTATTTTGATGTAATATTTATTTTTAGCCTACGTTTTAAGGTAAGTTATAGGTCTTCATTAGCGCTAAAAATTGGTACAAGTTACAAAACGTACGCTTTAAATAAATAGGTTATTCCAGAGATGGGCGATAGTCGATAGTTCGTATCCTCCCCTTAGGCACAAATTATTTTAAAACTTTATGTACTTAAAGGAATAATTTTAATAACACATCTTCATTCTTTTACCCATTTATAGATGTATGAGATATAGTAATAATATAACAATATAAAAGTTAAATTTTTTATAATAGAAAACTGTTATTGTATAATGGAAATGCCACATTAAGAAATAAATGGATAGAAGTGTGGAAGTGTGTTTAAAACTATTCTTATCAGTATATAAAACTAAAACTAAATTAAACAAGAAGAAGCCTTCGAGGTAAAAAATAATTCAATCTCAAATTACTTTCTTAGAAATATTTTTACAACTCCAGTTGTGCTGATGGAAAAAAATTTACATTTACCTTACCTTTAATTTTTTTTTCCATAAAAAAATATAATTACAAACTTTACAAGCATACCATTACAGTTTTATTATATTTTAAACTTGGTGTTATTATCAAATTAAATTTAGAATCTTAGAAATTAAAATTAAAAGACAAACAGTTCTCACCTCCTTTTTTAACCAAATAGTTAAAACAATACTACTTATATATTTTCGATGTTTCTTGTTTGAATTCAACAATCAAGAAAATAAATGCAATTTATTTTTCTATATGAATGTATTTTCCCTTCAATAATTTTTTTAATTATTTATTTAATAAATTTTATTCATTAATCCTTAAGAATGTATCCAATAATATTATAAAGTTTATACAACCATTTTAAGGTAAATAACTGAAGAATACATTGAAAATAAATACTCTTTAAGTCTGTGTCGGGAAGTTACTATACTATCTATAGTTTTTTATCGATAATTGAACTACCGATAGTGAAAAACTATCGACTATCGCCCATCCGTAGGTTATTCCTTCGGTAGCTAATTTAAATTATTCATGCTTACCAAACCCCTGTTACTATTTTTATATAATTTTATTAAAAATATGCCATAGAGGGAATTGTGTATGGTCTGAACTAAATACTTTAACAATTAAAATATGTACTCCTGATAAATTATAACGCATATATTTCTGCTACTAAATGTAAGGACATATGATGAAAAAACTATTTAAAATTTTTTAAGTACCATTATTGTCTCCGTTGACATTTTTTTTCATATTTATTTCTTTTTATTTTTTGTTATTGGCCTTCAACAATCGCTTAAATATTATTTTATATAGTTTCATTCTTTTTCTTCTTCTATGCTCCCCCAAATTAAATCCTAGATCCGCTATTGGTTAAGAATAATATACTGTTTAATAGTGAAATAATATTGGCTATGTGCATACTCCACTTGAGTTGATGAATAATTTTTAAAGTTAAGGCACTCATTTTAATGTGAAAAATCAATCTTATTATAGGAGTCGTGCGTTATATATAAAGACTGCAAAAAGTTATTGAATCAGTTGAGAATTACTTCTCAAGAAATTGATTTAATTTAATTATTTTATATCTTTCATTTTCTGTAATAGTCCAAAAATCATACAGTATTGTAAAATTGATTTTTCTTAATATTAAAAATAAAAATTGTCTAAATAATATCACAATTATCAAATAAAAGAAATTTCTTGTATGTGCTCTGGAAAGCATGGTCTATTTTAATAGGTTTTCTGTTGACCTTCTCTGATATTTTTTTAAGAAATTAGCACATTCTTTATCTTGTCGTCTTTGCTAAACTTATATAATATGTCATAATTGAACATCTACACATTTTGATTATGTAATAGTTATGTTTTTGCTTCTACATATAATATTCTATGGTATATAAAATTTATAATGCGTTCGATTTGTTTATTGAATAATCAGAGTTCGGGACTACAAATAAAAATACATATTATATTGTAATAGCTTTAAAGCAGGGGAAAATTTTTAAAGAAATTATAGTTCTGTTTTATTTTTATTCATTGCTGAATGTAATCCTCGTTCAGCTGTGAAGAAACTAGAGTAAACGTTAGTAAGTTTCGTTAAATTGCTCATTATACTACAGAGGAAATTCTTTATCCAATATTTTATGTTTAGATTTATCTTTTATGTGGTAGTTTCCATAATCGTGAATAATCCTCTTTTATGGCTAGCAGGGTGATAAGATAAAAATAGATGTTTTTTTTTTTTTTTCAGTAAAATCCAATGATAGATACAGAAGATAATTATATCAATTAAGTTAAAGTAATGTCCAAGCTACTGTAAAGTTTCTTTGATTTAATTAAACTAAAACAAAAAAATTAATGTATATTTCTGATTAATCCATTATTAAGAATAATTTAATTTTTATTGTCTGCCATTATTATATATTTTGTAGTTGTAATTTGCTTTGATATTTGTATGAATTTTATTAATTATCTTTTTTTTTTTAAAGAATGAGTAATTCAGTATTCTTTTTTTTTTTAAGTATGAATAATTAGGTATTCTTTTTTTTTTTTTTTTAAGGATAAGTAATTATGTATTTTTTTTTTTTTTTTTTTTTTTTTTATCAGATTCATAAGTTAATACTACAGCACTTAAAAAATGTATAGTATAAATCCTACATATACCTAATCGACACACTGATTTTATATATATAATGATAAGCATGACTCAACTAAATCACGCTACAATAAAAAATAAATAAAAAAGCAATAATATATCTTACAAGGGATGGTTGAATTTTTTATTGTTGATAGGCTCACAAAAAAAAAAAAATGTACTATTACCCAATAATTATTTAGATGAAACTATAATATAATATAACTTCAGAAATTTATAAACAAAAAAAATTCAATGCTAAAATTATAAAATTAAAACGCACATATATCAACCAACATAGTTCTATAATATAAACAAAAAGATATGACCAGATAAATATTCAAGCATAAAAGAAACTAAAATTAAAATTGAAAAAAATTAATACATAATAATAACTATCCTAAATTAAACAACACTGTCAATTGCCGTATAGGTGATGATGGATGATTCTGATAAGAGTACAGAATAATGTTCTCAGCCAATATCGTAGGTTTCACGACATCAACATCTAGTTTCTTCTCGTTTTTTTTTTTTAGATCGTTCCGCAATACCCAAACCAGAGACTTCTCATGGTGAACCCTCTCTCTCTGGAAGTCTCACAGAATTTTTCTTTTAGGAAAGGGATTCATTAATCATATATATATATATATATATATATATATATTATATATATATATATATATATATATATATATATATATATATATATATATATATATATATATATATATAACCTTCTTTTCCTTAAATTAAAAATTATTTGTAGTATCTACTATTTAAAAATTTCAATTGTAGTTGAAAATTTTCTTTATGTTATATTATTTTAATTTAATAATTATATTTTAGATTATACGATCATTTAATTAGTTGTTAATATTTTTTTATATATATATAGAATTTTGTAGCCGATTTTGCCTCGACAAGTCGTGATGATGTTTTCAGTAGTCCTGACAAAGTTGTATTGCTGAACAAAGTTATTTGCCAACACTTTTATCGGCAGGGAATGCTTGACATTGCTGATGAATTAGCCTTAGTGAGTAATATGACACTTATTTCTTCTCAATTCGACTTATGCTTATTATCAAAACATAAATTACTATTTTCTAATTTATTTTTTGTTGTTTACTTTATTATAGGAAGCCGGAATTGATTCCGAAAACGAGAAGGAACCTTTTACAGAATTGAACTATATTTTAGACTGTTTAAAACATCGAGATCTTGATCCTGCTCTCGAGTGGGCTGAGAAACATAGAGCAAGCTTACAAAAGCAGGTATTTTTAGTTCTATAATTTTTTCAAATGACTAAACAAGTTTTTTTTCTGTTCAATAATTGATTTTTTAACAGCAAATAAATTTTTTTTTAAATACATTAAAAAAATAAAACAAATGAATAGAAAAAATTAAACTATGTCCAGGAATTTTGAAGGATAACGGGAAATAATTATTTACAGACTTGTCTCATAAATTCTTAGAACACTAGCTCTTTACTACAGAAGTAGCATAAAAAAAAAAAAAAATTAAAATATTATTATTTGAAGAGAAGTTGGTTGGGCTGTTCAGTAAAGATAAATAAATATATTTACTTTTATTCCTTTTGTGCCAACGTTTTGACCTAAATTCATTAGAGCTAAGCACAGATAAGATAACATATAATATAAATATTGAGAAATGCTATATAAAAATATATAGACAAAAATGATATATAAATTAAGGAAGTACGGTTCGTTTGATTTTACCCTAAATTGAAGGAAATGCATGATATAGTGTAGAAATTACCTAGTAGCAATTTTAATGAATTCTATTAAACGATTGAAATTAATATAAATAACTTTTAGAGATATAATGGCTGTGAAATGTGGAAGGCATTGATCATGTGAAAGAAAGATTATGTTCATAATACTGTTTTATGAGGTTATAAAATTGTATACTATTTTCAAAAAGTTAATTTAAACTTGTATATTTTGTCACTTACGTATTGCTGACATGACACTTACTGCCGTTTCTTAGGTTTCACGTAATTTTCAATGATTGTGGGAATTAAAACTTAAATGGTCCAGTATTGATTTTGCCAAATTCTATTGACAGCTTTCGCTTAGGAATGCTATTTTCCTTTACTATCAGGGTTAAGTGGTCGAATATGAGGGCAGGGTGGTTGAATGGGCTAACGCGTGTGCACTGCACTGCCGTTGCACGGCAACCGGATATATGATTCTATGATATGAAAATAGTCACGAATTCGCGTCCCAGTCCCAGAGGGGATTTAAAATTCCCCGCCCTCACCCTCTGGTCCAGGAAAATCCCGTATAGTCTAAAAGGCGAGGTAGGGAAGAACAGGGGAAAAAAAAAGTGTTAAGTGGCCAAATTGCAAAAATGAACTAAAAACCTCGAAACAAGAAAAAAATTTGCTCTGAAGTTAACCTCGAAACAAGAAAAAAATTTGCTCTGAAGTTATGTCCACAAACGCTTCTTTAGGAGATACTCACAACTTAAGATGTTCATTGTTATGAATTATTTGTTATATGAGATAAATAAAACCTATTTATTTGTTCTAAATACTTTATTAATTAAATGTAAACATTAACATTCATTCATATTAAATATTTTAATAGGTTCGCATTTCTTTCCACCTCGACTCAATGCGGTCACGTTTCTGGTATTTCTTAATAATGATTACTATGATTTAGTTGAACATATTCCTCTACAACTGAGAAGGAACATGTGGCTTCAATTAGATGGTTGTCCTGCACATTACGGAAGAGCTCTATGACAATGGCTAAATGTTAATTATCCCAATCAATGGATTGGCCGTGCAGGACCTGCACGCTCTCCAGAACCTGTCACCATTGGATTTTTTGTTTGGGGGGACATTAAACAAAAAGTCTATGCAAGTCCGATCAATGATCTTAATTCCTTACGAATAAGAATAATTAAATCTTGTGAAACAACCATTCTTCTCTTCTTTATTTATTTCATTGTTATGTTAACACTAAAGATTTTGTTTTTCTACAACTGCTTATTGTTATTTTATTTTTAGAATTCATCTTTAGAGTTCAAGTTACACCAGCTTAGATTTATTGGATTAATAGAAAAAGGATCATCTTGCCAGAATGAAGCCATTCAGTATGCTAGAACATATTTAAGTCAGTTTGTCCATACACATGAAAAAGGTAATTACATGTTTCTTTTTCTCGATCTATATATGATACACGAAACATAAAATTACATGTTATCCATATAATTTTGGATACGAATAAAATTTTTATAATTAATCCATTTAATTTTATTTTAGATATTCAAATGCTGATGGGTATGCTGTTATATTTGTCTAATGGTGTATCTCGATCACCTTATGCACATTTGTTACAACCTAGCCTCTGGGCTGATATTTACGATACGTTTACCAAAGATGCATGTTCTCTTCTCGGTTTAAGCGTTGAAAGTCCTCTTAGTGTTTGGTAAGGATATTTAATTATCAGTTTTATTTGCCTATTGAAATATATATATATTCAACTTTTTGTCCAGCTTTATATAAGCCCAACATCAATTTTAAGCCTTTTATTTCTAATATTATCATTGCACATTATACTGTGCTTCTTTTTCTATTTCATAATAATTATAATGAAATGTCTTGATCGCAAAACAACACCTGTCACCTGGGTAAAATTGAACTACCACCTCCAGATGAATATCCGACTAGAATTAATGATTAATGTTTAATTATTAAATGTGATACTTTTCTGTGAAAGCTTGCTATAATGAACTAACATTATTTTTTATTTGCAAAATAACGTATTACACAGTCACTAACAATTTTTTTATATAATAGAGAGGTATTACCCTACCTACAATATTGAATTTTTTAAAAGATCTTTTTATAACGAGACCTGCTATGATTCCTTTTGGTGATCCATTAAATAGATAAAGATTGGACCTAACTTTGTACAGAATATTGTTAATTTTATCTCATGTTTGTTTTTGAATTTTTATATTGTCGGCAAAAGTGTGAAACTATGATTTTATCAAATCTCAACTTTTCAAAGATAGACTTCATAATTTTTGTTGTATTAAGATGATTTTTTAAAAATATATATTAACAAGAAATACCGTGCGATGGGGTAACTTTAGGACACTTTAAGCTGTTTCTATTTTTATTCTTAAAGTTAAAATGCTGAAAAAATTATTTTTATTTTTTTTTATTTCTTTATTGAGTATTACAACAATCTGTCTCTTGGACATTGGTTATAGTGAGGTAGGATGACATTCACACTATATGTAAAAAAAAAAATAAATAAATAGAAACAAAATAATAATCTAAAGTATATACAATAGATAATAAAATAAAATAAACTAAAAAATAAGAAAATTAAATCTAAGAAAAAAAAGAACACATGCATACCTATATACAATCAGGCGAGGGAACTCCAGGAGAACCCTGCGCTACTCTCTCAACTGCGTCACTGGTACTAAAGCCAGCGGAGATTTATTCAGAGCACTTTAGCCTAGCCACATACACTCATGTCTTGAGTGAAGAATCTAGCCATTGTCAGAACTCCAATATATACAATCTACAAAAGGTCGCGAGGCCACTGCCGTTTCAACCTTTTTGGAGGATTATAGGGATGGGAAGTGCTGGATAGGGATTGTGCAAGAGGATTTGGATGGTACGTAAGGTTCTGGTGAAATTTGGAGAATTTTTCTGGGATAAGGTCTAGGACGAATGGGATGTTAAGGTCATGATGTAGGGTTTTGTTGGTTACATAGAAAGGAGCATCGACTATTGTTCGAAGGACTTTTGACTGGAAGGATTGGATGCGCTTGATGTCAGAAAATTTTGCTGATCCCCACAGTTCTAGTCCGTAAGTCCAAATAGATTTCAGTATTGTCTTGTAGATCAGTAGCTTGTTTTCAATGGAAAGTTTAGATTTTCTGTTTAGTAGTCGGTATAGTTGGCCGTATCGTCGGTTGAAAAAAAATTTTAATATGTAAGGTCAGTCTTCCTCTTACAAAATATAATAATAACTCTAAAAACAGGAATATTTTACCCCCCATAAAAAATTTAATTTGTTCGAATCTTACCCCATTGGTGGGATAAATTTGGGACAGTGTATTATCTGAAAAGCAGGAAACATGATTTTGTATCAATGTTACCCCTCAATATTGTATAGGCTCATTATTTACATAAGAAACAACAAGAAAAGTGAGTATACAAATTTTATCCGATAATACCATATTTAAGGAAGGAGATGGTCCCGGGTGGCGGTCATAAATATACTAAATACTGGGAAAACTATTTTATTAAAAGCCAACGTTTTGACCCGACTTTGCAGGTCTTCTTCAGAGATATGTGTTCAGCAATGAGCTTCACTTAGAACTAGTTGCTAAGTTCTGAGTGAAACTCCTTGCTGAGCATATCTCCCTGAAGAAGACCTGCAAAATCGGGTCGAAATGTTGTTTTTTAATAAAATAGTTTTGTCATTATTTATTCTATTTATGACCGTCACCCCGGACCATCTCCTTTCTTAATAATACAACGGTCAACTATTAAGTATTCAATACTATATTGGCATATGAGAAAAATAAATTTGTATTAATGGAATAAAAATATTGCAAATCATAATTTTTTAAACAATTAGGCCATGGAAATTTACTGAACAAACCGAAAATATAACAAACATTATTATACACTTTGTATAGTTTGGTTTTTGTTAACTGAAGCCAAGAGATCGCTGTAAACTTGCAGCACTTTCACTTTGAAAATTTCTCACATTTTGTCCTTGAAAATATGTCCTTTAATTAGTGAATTTTATCAGTTGTTGAAGGCTATTACCAATTAGAAGCTGATTTCTTCATGGCCAACATTAATACCTTGGGAATCTGATGTTCACAGTTCTTGAGACACAAGCGAAAGTTTCATGAAAACAAGAATTTTCAAAAAAGCAATGGAAATAAATAAAATCGTAACTGCACAACGAGTGTAGTAACTAGGGTTAGACTTTTGTAGGGTTCTCAAACTGCCGCAGGGTAGTAGCGCAGTACATGCCTACACAAAGCACGTTTTTGCAGACTGAACCAACACAGTCTCTCATGGAATCACGACAAACTAAATTTTACCAACTGTCCCAAAGTTACTCCATTTTATGGTATACTATTTAGAAGATAAAATTAACACTTTTGCCAATGATGTGATTCGTTTGCTATTTATTAAATTTGTAATGAGATAGATTATTTTTTACAGTGTGAATGCTGGATGCATAGCTTTACCTGCCCTATTAAATATTAAGCAAGTTATGCAACAGCGTCAAGTTAGTGGCATATGGAATGGAAAAGATGAATTACCTGTAAGTTAATAGTTTATAATTATTATTTGATATGTTATATTAGTTTTATTAACACGTTTGATATTTAAAAAGTTGTAGACTTTTAATATGAGGCAAAATTAAAAAACATAAAAATGAATTTTTTTTTTTTAAGTACACAAAGTCGATCCCACATATAGATTAATTTTGCTGGTTCTGGAGAAGTTAAAAAAAAAAATGAGTTTAATACCTAAATCTCCCCGTTTCAAAGAGAAAAAAAAAACATCAATATATTTTACTATTAAGTTTGAAAACAATACTAAAATTATAAAAAATAATTGCCTATTTAGGTTAAATATGAACTGAGATTCTAATTTCCCACCTCCAAGAAAAAAATTGGCCATATTCCTGAAGTTCTTTTTCTTTTTTTTTAAATAATATTTTTAAACTATTCCCCTGCTTCACTTTTAGAGATAAGAGGTCTCATATTTTGCGACGTAGTATATGGTATTTAAAAAAAAAAAAATGATATGTCATATATATTGTGAAAATATATTTTTGGAACTAACCTTCATTTGATTAAATAAATAATTGGCAGTATATGCCCGAATTCAGAGCAAATATTAGGAATAGGGGTGGGAAAATCTAAATCTAAAAAAAATGGTAGTACTTTTTTAAACTACCATTTTACTCCCCCCAAAAAGTGATCATTTTTTATACATTTAGGATTGAGACCAAATTTAACACTTGAATATTTTGATCGTTTATTATTATTATTAAGTATGGAGCGGCCTTAGCGAACAAGTGGGTACTGTGTGTGCTTTATGGTGGAGATTAGATTTTTTTTTTTTTCATACTTAGTTTATTTTTCTATTTTTGTCAGAATCAGGGATATAATATAAAATGTGTTTGTAACTGTAAAATTTTGGATTTTTCCTTAGGACTCCACTGGGTGCTCTAGTATTTGTTCTAATCCAATATTTAAGGCCCAGATTCATCTAAGAAAGTTTTATCAAAATTGATGTGGTACATATAGGCTTTATTCTCTCCTGTTTTTTAGATTTGTTGTTTTGATAAGATAGTTTTTCATTAATTTAAAGTTTATATGTTTACGACTTAATGTAGTTATATTATTATTATTAATATAAAGGAAGGAGATAGTCCGGAGTAGCGGTCATAAATAGGCTAAATAGTGGCAAAACTATTTTATTGTTTGTAATAGTTTTGCCACTATTTAGCCTATTTATGACCACTACTCCGGACTATCTCCTTCCTTTATAATGCAACGGTCAACTATTAAATATTCAATATTATTAATATAGGGTTATATTATATTTCTAATAATAAAACTTCATATTTGATCCAGCTCTTATATTAAAGTTAAAAACCATCTTTATTTTGTACATTTGTTTATTTATTATTATTTTTTATTTTCAGATTGAAATTGATCTCGGTCCTGAAAAAAGATTCCATTCTGTTTTCGCCTGTCCTATTTTAAAGCAACAAAGTACGGAAATCAATCCCCCTATGAGGCTCGTCTGCGGGCATGTTATTTCCAGAGACGCTCTTAATAAACTAGCTAATTCTAACAAGTAAATACTTATGTCTAATATAATTTTTTTTTATTATCATTTTTATTTTTAAATCATTTCATTATTCATTCTATTTAAAAGGAGATGATCTTATAATCTTCATACTGAGAGTAGCATTGGAAAAATGTGTGGAGTATAAAAGAAATACATCATCACATCTTCATTCATTTTCGGGCTGCGTATGATAATCAGAGAAGAACTCTACAGCGGACTGTTGGAAATGGGAATTCCTATGAAGCTCATTTGCTTTATACACATGACCATGATGAGGGTAAAATGTATGGTCGGTATCAAGGGTGTTTCTGCACCCATAGAGGGCTTAGACAAGGAGATTGTCTTACGTACCTACTTTTTAATTTGGCCCTGGAATGTGCAGGAAGGAGATCTGGATTCCAAGTTGGAGGTTAAAGATATGAAATATGTATTCCTGAAGCTCCAACAGGAAGCTGAATGGGGCTCATTATTAATGAGACAAAAACAAAATATATGGCTACAGCCACTGATGGAGAATTACTACTATAAACATACAATTTGGGTCATATTCCTTTGAGAGAGTAGAGGTGTTTATTTATCTAGGATCACAAGTCAATGCCTAGAATGATATTTCATCGTAAATTCAGCATCAGATTGTCTATGTAAACGGGTACCATTGATTAGTTGGGCAATTATAGTAGAGCAGAGTAGTATCCCAAGCCATCAAGTTCTGCCTGTATAAGGCATTAGTAAGGTCGGTACTCAGTTATACTGCGGAATGCTGGACTACTACCAGGAATCAGGAATAGGCCCTACTAAGATATGAGAGACGGATCCTGAGAAGAATCGTGGGTGCAGTATATGTAAACGGAATCTAAAAACAGTGGACTAATACAGATGTATGGGAATGCTGATGTGGTGGCCTTATAAGAATGTTTGAGAATCAGGTCCTAAAGACCAGACATCACCTCCTTTACTGGACCATAGATCCTTCTGAGGACGCCTCGCTTGAACACTCAGCTTCATCTCATTACTTTTCATCATCGTCCAAGCCTCTCAGCCATATGTCAAAATAGGCCATACAAGGGTCTTGTATATAATCAGCTTGGTCTTCTTTGAGAGATACCTACTTCTTAAGTGTCGGCCAAGTCCAAAGACACATCTATTGGCAGCCGTGATCCTTCTTTGTATTTCTTGAGCCATGTCATTTTGCTACTCACTTCAGACCCAAGGTATATAAAGCTTTTTACTCTCTCAAACTTGAAAGAGCCTACCTCAAATGGAGAGTTCAGATCCACCTCACCACCAACTCTCATATACTTACTTTTCTTCTCGTTGATTTCTAGACCAAGTCGTCTTGCAGCTGCTTCAAGGGCTGTAAACGCTCCTCTGAGAGTCCATTCAGACCTTCCTATTATATCAATATCGTCAGCAAAACCTAGAAGCTGTGTCAGGCGATTAAAGATTATGTTGCTGGTCTGAACACCGTCCTCTCTTACAGTTTTCTTCTCTGTCAAGTTGCATAATAGACAGGCAAGGGCATCCCCTTACCGAACCCCACTGCTCACTTTAAACTCTTCAGAGGCATCAGAACCGACGTGTATTCTACATTTCGAGCTGTCCATTGCCATCTTGATTAGGCGTATGAGCTTCTGAGGGATACTTAGCTCCTCCAAGGCACAGTATAGTTGTGTTCTATCAATGCTGTCGTATGCTGCTTTAAAGTCAACGAATAAATGGTGGGTGACTACCTTACGCTCCATATTATTTTCTAGGATCATCCTCAGAGAGAACAGTTGATCAGTTGATCAGTGGTTGAGCGTCCTCATCGAAATCCAGCCTGATATTTCTCCAGTTCCTTTTCAGCATACGGGAGGTTCCTCTCAAACAGAATGTTAGAGAGCAGATAATAAGCACACGAAAGGAGTGAGATTCCAGAATATGACATCAAATTATTGCCAATTATTTATTCAATGCCTACTTTTAGACCGAAATTGTAGGTTTTAATTGCATCTAAAAATAAAGATACAAAGTAGGTGAAACTATTTTTGGTGGATAAAAAGGTATATTAAACTGTGGTTTGATAATTGACTGTTGTGAATTATTGAAGAGAAGGTTGGTTGGTCGGTGTATTAAATAAAAATGTAAAAATAAATAAATTATATTTATATTTATTTTTTGCCTACATTGGGCCCAAAGTTCAGGCCTTCATCAGAGCTAAGAAAACAAAACCCAGATAACAATAAGTATGCGAAACTATTAACATTAAAAAGAAAATAATAATATGTAGGTGAAAGGTGTAGTCTAAAAGCATGTAGGTAGAATAAACTTAAAGGAAATATAAAATAATGATTACAAAGTTAGAGACTAATGAAATAAGGTAACATAAGAAATAAAAAATGAATTAAAAATGAAATTTAATGGAATATATAAGATGAAAAACGTAAGTGTTAGACATAGAATAAAATATTCCTACTATGCTAAAAGGAAATGAGATTGGCATAGAATAAAATGTATTACAGAGAAAAGGGATATGATGTTATTTAAAGAAAATAAAACAGATGTAAATAGAAAAAATAAGATACTGTAAAATCTATCAAAATATACTGACTATATATATAAGAAAATTAAAATTATGTAAATAATGAAAATAAGATGTAACGAGTAAATGTATCATTATACACAAAATAGAGGTGGAAATATGAAAAAGAAAATAACGATAAAAAGGAAAATGAGGAGAATACTAAGATAAAAGAACCAGACAGACCTGGTCAGATGAAAGATTCCGTAAGACAACATTATTGTGGTAGGAATCTTACATAAGGCTAAGTAAGTTCTACTTTTTCTATGTATTATATCTATTATTATTATTTGTTTTTGTTTTTTTTTAGCTGTTAATGTAATATGTTTTATCTATGATAAAAATTAATATGATCTTTTTGTGACTGCTTGATTATTTAGTACTATTTCAGAGACTGAAAGCTTTGTCTTTAAATCCTCTTATTCTAAACTAATATTTATAACAGAGAATAATAATATACTTTTTTTTTTCTTTTGCAGATTGAAATGTCCGTACTGTCCAATGGAACAAAACCCCGCTGACGCTAGAATTATTTACTTTTGATTATACTGGAATTAGAATTTAAAAGGACATATATAAATTAACGTCTGATTGATATATATATATAAATATTACAACTAAAGTATTTAGGGGATTCAAGTTTTTTTAATGAGAAGTATATATAATTTTAACAAAAGATACTTCGACATTATTTATTAATATGTGATGACCTGTTATAGTTTTTATATATAGCAGTTAAAATGATATTTTGTGTGCTATTACCATGTTGTCTTGATAATCATAGAGAATTTTTAATGATACATAGCCAAATTATAGAAGCTCGCATAGTCATCTGTTATTGATTGAAATAAAATGAGTTTTGTACTTAAGCTATTTTGGGTTGATATATAATAAAATAAGAAAAATGATAAAGTAAAAATAGCCGACAAAATATTAATGATTCCCTTTAATTTATGTAAATGTAAATAGTAACGTACATAAAGGTGGTTAGTATTGATACAACTCATAACATATGCAATTACTATTGTACTCTCTATTTCCCGGATTTAGATAAATGGATACTTTTAAGAATTATCAGCTCAGTTATTTTGTTTTGTTTTTTTAAAGAGAAATCTTTAAACATTTTTATTGAAAGCTAACCTAGAGTGCTTAACAACTGTTTGAGATAATGTGATTCGTTATAGCATGTATTTTTATGAAGAAACAGTTGTAAAAAATAAAGAAAAGTGAACTGAGCCTATAAGTGATAATTTTTGTTCATGTTTTGTTTTTTTTTAAATAAAGAGATTTATAAACAAATGTTTAAAAAAATTATTTTTTTTCCCTAATCTCCAGGATTTATTATTTTTTTTTTCTTAATTAATGGTGAAGAAATAGTTTACTACACGTAATAAATGTTGGATGTTGCAGTGAGAAACACAAATAAAAAATGTTTACGTTATTTTTTGCTGACATTTCGACCTAAGTTTCAGGGCTGAGAAAAGATAAAATAACAACCAAAAAATTATTTAAAAACTGGTGTAAAAAAAGATATGAGAAAAATACTAGGTTGTATAGAAGGAAGCTAGTCAACTTTTCAGGATGCAGTCATTATACAATTTTTTTTTATTTGTGCCAACGTTTCAACCCAAACATGTGGGTCATATTTAGGACTGAAAATTTTAAAATGCAATCGAAGATATAATATTATACGGCCGATAATGGTAAATAATAAACTATAGTGATTGATGGTACATGAATCTTAACTATTATTACACTACACAATATTAAAAATGAAATATGTAAAAAGTTATACAAACTAAAAATAATATATATCAACTCCCAGCACCCTTCCTATATCTGTTGTCTCCTGCAGCCTAAACCCTTAGTCCACTCAATAAAAACGAGATCCCGTGTTTCTGACCTGTATATTCCATTCCACAGGACAAAAACCTATGAACGTTCCTTCTTAGCCCGCTCCGTCTCCTACTGGAATTCTTTGCCACATAACATCTGTCATGCCTCTTCCCTGTCAACTTTCAAATACCTCCTTTTCCAATATCTCCTTACATCCCAAACAGAAGATTTACCACCATAAATTTCATTTTATGAACTGAATTTGCGTGAAGTAAATAGTGGTGCCTACTGTTTAAGTTTTAACATAAAACAGCAATGATCTTCGTCACCTAGTTTGACTATTATTTTTACTATTTATTTATTTTTCTCTTCTCCTCAGGTTGTGCTTTTTCTTTCGGGTATATATATTTATATTGTATATTTTTGTCTTTATGTGTGCCAATATGAGAATGTACGTATAAATTTGTATATATATATATTTTTTTTCCATTACACCACAAGTATCCTAAGATTTTATTTTATCTTAGTGTCCGCATATTATTATATAAACCACTGTAGATATTATTACATTTTGTATTAAGTTAGTTTTCTATTAGATAGCCTATTGTTTATAAATTGTGTAGTTATGTATATATAAATATGTAATTTCTCTTCTTTTTTTTTTTCATCACAATTAAGTAATTTTGAGAAGATTTTATGTTCATTTGTGTATATATTTTATTTTTTACTGGTTACATACTTTTTAAATAATGTATATAATATTAAAATTTTTAGAAGTTAGTTTTTGGCCAGATTTGTACTTTACTCTGTATTAACTCATCATTGTTATTCTAAAGGGACTTAGTCCAAGAATAAAGTTTAATTTTCTATTCTATTCTATATTATCTATTTATAAAAATTTGTAATATTTTCTCTTACTAACCGTGGTTCGAGCACTGAAGGCTTTCAAATACTGACACATTTAGTAGGTAAGTGAATAGGTCAGAGGAGGATTTCCCAGTTGTTCTTTTTCAGATAGCAAAAGGTAGGTAAACATAGTCAGAGGGGGAGGGGGGTGACATTTATGTTAGTAAAATGTAAATAATTTGCTGACTAAATATTTTATATGTGTACAAGATTTGCTTTGTTTCTTATGGTTACGAAATTGTGAATATTGGCGAGTAATGAAATGAACATAAGCAAGAGGTGCCAATCAATATAAATATAACATAGTTTGATTAAAGGTATACAATGGTTAATCCAATAATATTTATAATAAAGACAATTGTAATGGACTGAAAACATGCGTAGGACAATATGTTATACAGTGTGAATGTGATCTGTGAATACTATTATAAATTTCCTTGAAACAGATTGTAATATTTTTCAATAAATAAGCAAAAAAATAAATTAAAAAACAAAAAACAAATAGAAGTATGTATTATATTAAGGATTACATAGTTTTAATAGTATGAGTATAAACATATCTGTGTCTATTTATAGTATATATTTATATTGAGAGAGGACATTATATGTATATATATATATATACACTTATAATGTCCACTCTCAATATAAATATATATTATAAACAGACATAGATATGTTTATACTCATACTATTAAAACTGTAATAATAAACGTAGGAGTAATTACCTATGTAAGTTGACGAGAAAATGAAAAACAAAAATTTAAATGATTATAGACTATTGTTTTAGGAGGCGGAAAATATTCGAATATGTGTTGCAGATCTTTTCTTTGTCTACTTTGTGGTTTACCGGGTTATTTTTTCCCAAATTGAATATAACTTCAGAAAGTAGTCGTTTTTGGTAATAGGGAACTGTGGCTAGTATGGTTGAGTTTTCAAAATCAAATGTGTGGTTGAGGAGATATGGCGTGTTTGGCAAATGGCACAAATAAAAAATTTGTATAATGACTGTGTTATCAACCATGAAAAAAAAGTCGTATTACATATTTTAAACATTATTGAGGAAAGAGATGGTCCAGGGTGGCAGTTATAAATAGACTAAAATAGTGACAAAACTATGTTATTAAAAGGCAACGTTTCGACCCGATTTTGCAGGTCTTCTTCAGGAAGGTGTGATCAGCAAGGAGTTTCACTTAAAACTTGTTGAAGTTCACTTAAAACTTGCAATTTTAAGTGAAACTCCTTGCTGATCACACCTCCCTGAAGAAGACCTGCAAAATCGGGTCGAAACTTTGGCTTTTAATAAAATAGTTTTGCCACTATTTTAGTCTATTTATAACCACCACCCCGGACCATCTCCTTCCTCTATAATACAACAGTCAATTATTAAGTATTCAATTTAAACATTATTGAATACTACTCTTCAAAGTAAAGTCCATTGTTTTCAACTTCATTCACCCATCTTTCGCCCAATAATTGGATTTGATGACAATACCACTCCTTCAGTTTTGAGCTAAGAAACTCTTCACATCCTCGTAATTATCAAAAATTTAAAAAAATGAGCCATTGATCTAAATAAACTATAATCTGATGGTTCTGATAATTTTTCCTTAGTCAAATGTATTTGATGTGCTGAAACATTGTGTTGCAAAATGGCTTGGTTCCTGTTAAGGAAATCGAGGTACCTCACACTCAAAGCTGCATAAACTCTGTCTAGCTTTTCATAGTAAACGTTTGAGTCCACTGCTATACCATCAGGAACAACCTCAAAATGCAAAACGCCTTTGAAGTTCCACCATAGTCAAAGCATCGATCGACAATTCCAAACAAAGCACAGTAGTGTTTCAATAGATAACTAATTCACCTTCTTTGACACAAATTTCTTCAGCAGCTGCCTTTGAGCATAGACATTTTTATCCAGTAATATCACAAAATACTGTGAATAATAATTTTTTCTTCTAACATTTCACATGCTTTTTAAAATTGTAAATGATGCCATAAAGCCAACTCAAGTCACAAGGAATTAAAGAATTAGTGAAAGTAAACATTGACATAAATAGTAACAACAAAAACATTCTTGTAGCATTAATTATGAGAGGTGGAATTAAGAGAATAAATAATTAAAATATATAAGTATTGTATGTTATAGCAAGTAAAATATGATGATGAGTAGTATATTTTTAAAATTCAATATAATAAGATAATAGATTTTGTGATATAATATTAATATAATTAGTCTAGTATATGTGAGTAGTGAAAGGTTTTTTTAAACATATTTATTGAAATTTACAACTGTATTACATGAAAAATACAACTAAATTTGAAATTGGTAACATGACATGTACAGCATGAAGAAAACCTATCCAGTAGAACTCCAATTATATTTCTATATTAGAAGGTCCTGAGGCCATCTTCTTTTCAGTCACCTCGGAGGAATAGAAGAGGAAGCAAGGTTGGAAACAAGAGGGTTCAGATGGTTCGAAGTTAATTATGGAAGGATAGAACATTAAGAATTTACAATGGATTTTGGATTGTAAGGATTGGATACAAATGGAATTTGATGGTTTAGTAGAGCTCCAATGCTCGATTCCGTAAATCCATATAGGCCTTATTTGGCCTTTGATAGGGTTCTGACAAAGGATAAAGCTGATTTGATGGGGGTGAACGATAAAATTAGTAACTAGTGAATGGTAAATATGTGGCATATAAGATATACAAAAAATTTTAATAGGAAATTATAAAGTAACGGTAGAAAACTAGTAAAGTAAAATGTGACAATGTAATAAAGCATGAATTAACGAAGAAATGAAATATATGTAGGAAATAGGACTTAGTGTCATTTAATAAAATAACTTGTAAAATTAACCAAATTTTTGCCTCTTCAGGAAAAAGATATAAAAAATCGCTCTTACGAGTAGATACTGGTCCATTTATAAAAACAACAATAGAAGCATTTAAAAAGAATTTTAATTGGCCAAAAATATATATCTAAAACAGACTATAACTTACTTAGGTATAGCAGTCTCGAACACTTATTCAAGTACACACAGAATAAGACAATCCTTCCCAAATCTTTTTTTTTTAAATCGACTAATGTCACTATTAAGTCCTTCACTATATATTTTTCAGGTGAAAATTGATCAAATGTAAAATCAAATATAACTGAAGAAGCAAAAACTTATAACTGAAGAAGCAAAAATTTGAATAATTCTACAGTACATTATTTTATTAAATGAGATTATAAAGGCCGTATTCCTATTCCTACCTATAAAAGGGTCATTCCTGTTATCGTTAATTGAAGAAATGAAATGAAATATTAAGTAATGTAAATAAATTGAAGGAAAAAATTGCAAATAAAATAAATAAGATGTGGTAATTGCTATAAGTTAATGGTATATTTTGTTCAGTAGAAATGAAATAAACATAAAATAATGACCCACATGTTTGGGTTGAAACTTCAGCTAATTCATTAAACAAATTTTTGACTGCGTTTTTTGACCAGTTTTTCATCTTTATAATTTCTATAGTCAACTTCTAACCCATCTCTAAAGTATTAAGTATAAT